AATTTAATTCACTTTACTGAAGTTTTACAGTATCTTAATTAAGATCATCCAATAAAATTTCTACATGGGCTGAAGAATGGATGAGAGTGGAATCATGGAGTCTGTAACGTGCCAACAAAAATCAGACTCTCGCGGTTTTACTAACAAAATCAGTCCAGAATCGTAGTCAAAAAATAGGCGTGGGTCAGGTCCAAAAAGCACAGCAGAATGATAACAGTAAGCATAACACGATCCTAACAAACACAAAGGGGCAGGCAAAAGATGTAGTCGGCAAAATGGGCAAAAAGCGTCATAAACACGAATCAGTAATGTCCAGGCAAACAATCCAAAGGGCAGAGCAAAAGGCAAAGTCGAAATAACAAAAGCAATGGTCAAAAAAACTGGGCTTTTAAACTAAACTATGAAAGTCATATAACCAAGAACACAGGTGATACACATCAATGTTCTGGAGATCTAGAGCGCTGATAGGAGTGGATGACAAGTTCAGGAGTCATGTGATCCCCCCAGAGGACTCTGGGAGATGGAGTCCGGGTTCTTCTGAGAGTTCGACGGATGCTTGACAGAGTCATCAATTAAAGGTTTGAGTTCCACACATAGAGTTGCCTCAAAGACCCTCATCATCATCAGCCACCCAGCACCAGTCTCTGAGATCAAGGAAAAGTAAAAGGAAAGATCAAGACTCACTGTTATTATTCTCATGTGAAAGTAAACTTTTACTCTCTACCACCGTCAGCATACTTGGTATTGTGTGGTATATATGTTTTAAGTGTAAGATGACATGTCAATCCATTTAAATCATGGTGTGTGGCAAGTGTTTTGTTCTCCAGGATCTCTGGAGCAGAGGTGTAGATGAGAGTCGGACCAGGAGACTATGTCACCCTACAATGACTCTGGAAGAAATTTATTCTGTAGCCTCCTGTTCAGCTGGATCTTCTGTTGTTTCAAGTGTGAGTATTGCTGGAGCTAAAGCACATGGCTGAAGCCACTGAAACTAGAGCTACATGCACAAAAAGGGTGATCAAAATATACACAGAAAAGGCCCATTTAAAAGCCACATTAGTGGTTTTAGACAGAGAGAGGGAGGCAGAGACCACTGTGACTTAAGCAGCTGTGATGAAGGCTGCAATTGTAAACTTAGAGGCAGCAGAGAGAACATAGAACCTTAACGTAAGCAAAGCATCACAATGTTCTGAAGAGTATGTAAAAGTGCACATTCACTGTACTGGAAGCATGCAGTCACCCAGAGACACACCCAGAGGCAGTAGAAAAAGAGCTGGAAGTTTAATCTGTAGCACCAAGGACGAGTTTATTGTCTAGCCATTCTGTAGAATCTAATATGCATGTCAGTGAAGGTCTTACAGAACAGGGCCACCCTGTCCCTTTGAAAAGTCTGTTATGTCATGTCATAATATGACTGGTTTGTTAATAAAACAAGTAAACTAAGCAATTCAATTACTCTCCTCCTCAACAGACACTGTACAAAGAGTCGCTGCCCTCTAACTTACTTTAGTGACTGATAGAAGATCTGCTTTAAATCATCATCATCATCATCATCATCATCATCATCTTTAACCGCTTAGTCCAGATAGGGTTGCAGTAGCAGTTGGGAGAGCAGAGAATCCCGGATGACCCTGTCCCCTGAAACTTCCTCCAGCTCATTCCGTGAAACCCAGAGCTGCTCCCAGGCCAACTTGGAGATATAATTTGATATAAGTTGCTTCATACTGCTGTCAGTGTAACTAAATGTAATACATAACTAAGACACCATCATTAACTGTGTTTTATGGTGGAAGTGTTTGTTTTGAATAAAGGAGTCACTATTCTTCCCTCTTCCTTGGTCCTACCTCTCAGCCTTACCTATGTTCATCATCTGGCCTTCTATGATAAAGCAGAAGCCATTTTTTTTGCCTCTCTTGAGCCATACGCTTTTTCTCCTACTATAACCATGTAGATGTAAACAAGCCTGCTGCTGTCTTGTCACCCACACCACCTACCTGCTCATAACACATTCAGACAAAAGAAATATTCCGTTCACGTGGACCAGTCAGGTGGCAGACACACCAACATCAAAGACTCTTCTAAGAAAACTGACCAATAAGAAGCCTGTGATTAACTTGAACTATTTCTGTTTGAGGTTACATTCACTGAAGCCTTACTGCATATGACGTACACCACAGTGATAGGGTGAATGTTCCACCAAGTGGACCAATCAGACTTCAACACAGACATCCGCTTTAAAGCTTTGAAGACCTTCACCATCATCAGACCCCCAGCACCAGTCTCTGAGATGGAGACATCAATAGTCACCCTCCTTGTGTTTGTCTGTGAGTAAAGGTTTACATTTATTAGCTTGAATATATACGAGACTCATGACTATACTGGCATGGCTTTCTTCATAAGAAGACACATAAGTTGTTCTGTAAATGTGTACTGCTGATCTGAATTGGTGTGTTTGGTGTTTTGTAGGTGTTTGGTTCTTCAGGATGTCTGGAGAAGAAGTGGAGATGAAAGTCAGACCAGGAGACAATGCTGTTCTCTACAGCGACTGTGTTTGGAGGAGTGGATTCTATATAGTTTGGTTTAGAAACTCCTCACATAAGCATCAATCTCCTGTCATGATTTCAAAGGATGATTCTCATCCACGTTACTCTTTTGTATGGAATATACTCAACAATACCAACGATCTGCTGGTGAAGAACGTCACTGAATCAGACCTGGGCCTGTACTACTGCGCTCTAAAAGACATAAAGATCAATGATCCAACTCAAGTTGGTTTCCGCAGAGATATTTATCATTACGGAAACATGACCACTCGACTTTCTCTCCTGGGTAAGATTTACTCACCCCAGTCTACTCATTTTCCTAGTTAGTGTCCTCGGCTATATTTTAGAATCAGTAAGCTAAAGTAGATAAAAGCCTTTGTGTATTTTATTTTGTGGTGATTCTTTCAGGCCTGTGCTATGATTTTTTGAGGGCAGGAGCTCAGTGGAAAGAAAGGATTCCCTAAACATGAATGAAACTGAATTCATTTTACAAAATGCTACCTTTAGAGGAACCGAGACCTGAAAGGGGAATGCATCCTCCTCTGGTCAACACCGGATAGCAAAACAATTACACAACAGCAATATAAGCGGAGAACAAGGTTTGACCATGAGTATAAGATATGGACAAGGGGAAAAGCAGGTGAAGCAATGGCTATAATTAAATAAAATAGTTCACGTCTGTGCATTTAGCAGTGCAGGGAACTTTATAAGAAGAACCTGTTTGTATGAGTAATTTCAGTTCTATCCATACCTTGTCTATATTTTTTTAGGACATCTGTGTTAAATATTTTCTCTCTATTCAGACACAACTGTGCAACCCTGCTGGAAGCTGCTGGTCAGTGTGTGTCCTGTGTGTGTTCTCCTCTCCTCCACCTGTGTGTGCTGCATCTGCAGATACACAAATAAAGGTACTCTCTCAACTCTCTCTCAGTATTCTTGCTTCCAGGTATTGTTCATGTTACGCTATTAGTGAAAAAAGCATTAACATGTTTAGATGTTAAGATGTTACACACAAAACATGATGCGAATAAACAGCACAAAAATATTAACATTTACTGTGCAAAAAACTTCAAAACAAATCAAACTGATTAATACAATCACCATTTGACAACAAGGAAATGAATGAGCAGTATGTCATCAAGTGCAAAAATATATTTTTTGCTTATCACTAAAAGCGGCAGACTGAGCCTTGCGGTGGGCTACTTTCCATTTTGAAAAAAGTTTCACTGTCCCAACTGGCAGCTGGAATGTCATGAGAGCTTTTATATGTAGCTTAGATGCCCAATTTGAGCTCCATTTGAGCTGGTTATAGAGAAGCTAACACTTTTGACACTTTCTAGTTGTTGGGACAACAACGGCAGAATGAATGGTCAGTTGGTTAATTTCGCCTGCGAACTGTTGCCAAAGAAGAACAGCAGGTAAATAAAGTAATGTCGCTGTTTGGGCATCTGAAAAATAATCTTTCATGAGCAAAATTGCATGAATAAATTGTGCTTGGATTCTAAAGGCCTGTGGTAAGATCATAATTGTGTTATTTTAATGTTATAGAGAAGCAGAGGGCGCAGCCTAACATGGGATAAAATGTGAGCGATCAGATTCACCAGATTCACCCTGAATATTATTCTTTTAATAGAATCAAATAAATATAATTTTTATCACACTAAAATGTACTGTTCTACTTTGTCAGTATTTGAGACAGTATCTTGTCACAAATATTTTTTAATGTACTGTATTTTGCTTTAAAAGTACACCATACACCATAGAACACCACAGAATTTATTTAATTCATTGGTCCAGTCCCATTTCTTGTTTTTACCCCTACCCCTTGTTTTTGAGTGTCACCTTGCCCCTTGGAACTGAGTTACAAAGGGTAGTGGTTAAAATCTTCCCCCTATGAAATGAGACCCTCAAATAAAGAAGAACATTACTTCATTAACAGCTACTAGCACTGCTCTGTAGGCAACCCTGCCAGTCTGCCATGATAGCAGAGGAGGGTAAAGTTCAGCAACCTCGCTGCTGGGCTTTAGTTACATTTAAGGCATCATATGCCTTCAAAGAAGGGGGGGGTACAATAATTATTTACTATCACCCACCCCTAATTTTTCAGTAAAATGAAGCTGAAGTCAGCTATTCACCGGCTTCTTGTCTAAATCTCCCGTTCCACCTTGAATGGAGCAGCAGTTCTGATGCCTGAGGTGCCAGAATGTAAATGCTGCTCCATTTAAGGTGAAACAGGAAGTTTAGTTAGCTAACTACTGAGACATCAGCAAACTGCTAGTGATTTTTATGCTTGTTATAAAGAAAAGGACCGTAATACATTGAAATGACATTAAACTAAGATAATACAATGGTTATCCTAATTTCTTAATGGAGAAAATACTTACATTGTGTGTTTCTTTCATCTTTCCAGTTTTTTGGAGTGTGCCACTGTTTGGGGTGTGCCTCTGTAAATCCTCCATTTGGAGGGTCATGTAGCTCTTAACACTTCACCCTACCCCTCTATCTCAACAGAAATCGGGACACCCTATCCCTCAGACTGAACGCACAAAACGGAAGGGTAAGGGCATAGTGTTAGGGGCAGGGGGTGAAATGGGATTGGGCCATTGCGTCTTGATCAACTTCCCTGACTTTTTCCTAGTGAATGTTGCAACTGGCCCCTCGTCCTGTTTCAGCTGACGCTGCAACATTTCTACTCACACATTTTCACATTTTCATTTGTAACAGAGATATGCATGTTGCTTGTATAAATAAACAAATGTTGCGTAAATGTTGAAAAACTATTTAGTGAAACCCAAAATGTGTTAGGTTCCTCCAAGTCCTTTTACATGTTCACAACATGTTCTCAATGTCAATACTGAAGATCTTTCTTTCTGGTATATATGAACTAGGAGTATTGTTTATATCAGCTCACATTTGTATGATATCTGATTTATTTTATTGACAGTCGGGAAGAAACATGATGAAGGCGAGAGTGAGAAATCAAAGAGTCCTACAAGCAGAAAAAATGATGAGGTACTGAAACACACAAACACACACTTTTAAAGGTCAGGACCTCAGTTTCAGAGATCTTACAATACTGTTGTAAACTTTTATTTGTGTGATAACAGTGACAGAGCAATCTGCATACCACATTTATAAAGGCCATCACGTCCCAGATGTGTAACGCTGCACAGCATTGTGTAGCATCATATTGCAGAAAGCACAAAGACACCACATAGAGTGTCACCATGAATGCGCTGATAAAAACTGTGTTTGAATTAACCTACTTCATACTGCTCAGATAAAGTAGTAAGCAGTGTGCAGTATGTGACCAACATGGATTTCTCCAGTACGCCAAAGATACCCAAAGGACGCACTGCTCTGGCCAAATATTCCAGTATGATTCCAGTATAAATATTCCAGGATGAAAAAGGTTGGTCAGGGCTTCTGCGTCCTGTAAGCCAGATGTAACCATGTCTGAACATGCAGTGGTGTCTCCAGTGGTCTGCACTTTACATAACATAAATAACAAACTAGTCCTTGAGCTCAGAACATATACCTATGTAATATACCTATAAACCTACACCTACCTGAATAACAAACTAGTCTTTGATGTCAGAACATATATCTATTTTATTGTCCAACAGGTGCTAATGTTAACAGTGTGGGTGCATCCAAATGTTACTATGTCATCTTTTTGCTGAAATAGTGTGATCAAGTAATGCTCTGCACAGAGACTGAGTAATGCACTCAACTACCTTTACTTGTCCTGTTCTATATGAGGTTGTTCTGCCCTATTCTGACATTCAGAGGTCCTTCATCTATCTGTTTAGATTGTACAGTACAGTATTATACAGGGAGATTCACTTGAAAGAGGCCCCGAATATTCTGTTGTAACTTCCCGTTAGGATGAAGCAATCTGAACCAAAAAATATGCTACTTACCTTGACATACTGCTCAATACTGTACACCGCCGTCCTGATGAGAAGCCGAGTGACTGAGTGAAGGGGTACGGGAGTATGCACCTGGAAGTTGCAAACGGAGGTTAAACATCGCGACGGCTGTCCGACACCCACCTCACTGCTCGGACGTAGGGGCATCCCAGCTTATTTGAAGCTCCATACTGAGGAGCACATTGAATGTTGTTTTGTTCAGATTGCTTCATCCAAGCAAGAGTTATTACACAATATTTGGGGCCTCTTTCGAGTGAATCTCCCTGTAGCACCATCACTGTCGAGCTGTGTGACAGTTTTCCAGCTATGAACATCAGAAGGTGTTAGTGTGCCAACAAGGGTGCACAATGATAATGATGAACTTTAATCCACTGGTATAGGTGGAACCCAAAACGACCAGGAAAACCCACTTCCTCATCATAGTCGTAGTTCCACTTCACCTGCTTACTGTCTACCTGCTTTTCTGTCAGTGTGCTCCCCTAGTTTTACCAGACAATCCCTGCAGCCAGGGGAGCAATAATGGCTTATGCTGTACTGGACATCAGCTTCTGGGCCCGTTGCCATCCCGAGGTCACCTACTGATCTGGCCTGGTGTCACAAGACCACCAGTTACCATGTCAAGACAGAAGCTGGCACAGCATTAGTCTCAGTGAAGCAGAGGGTCTATACTGGAAGGAACAGTGTTAGAACGTTTCTCCACCACATTTCAAATCAAGAATGGGTACCAATGAGAACCAATGTCACTTACAGTTCTTGTACAGTACAGTATAAGTACAGTACTTGAGACAGCTATGACCATGATGACCATGATAAACGATTTCATGATAAATGATTTCATTGTTGGCTAATATGAAAGAATACCCTGCACAGTTCCAGTTTACTTTCTGGTGTTCTTAGTTTTGATGTAATAGCTCTTGGTGATTTTATCGTCACATAAAAGAGAAAAGAATTCACTAAATTGGCTTCAGTTGCAAGTGTTACCAAAGAGGACAGAACAGACTTGGGTACTATTAGGTCCTCCAATTTAAGTAAAACAGTTTTGAACAGGTATCTGTTCCTCTTGTTACGACCCAGTCTAGGGTCAGGCCGTAACTGTCATGATAAGGTTTAGATCAGGGAGGTCACCAAACTATCCTGGACATCGGCCTTCCACACTAGGTGTCTGACTCCCATATTACAAAATATATACATTGACTAAGTGCTTCATACTGTAAATATGATCATTTTAAATGTAAAACACAAACTGCTTTATTCTATGTTAGAAAATGGTCAGTTAAATCAAAGGTTTGTAAATTGTCTGCAGGTTGGAGGAGATGATGTTTGTTACGCTTCGCTGGATCTCCCGAGCAGAAGAGATAAACGTCTGAAGAAGAAGAGAGTAGAGAGCTCTGATTTCAGCACATATTCTGAGGTTAAAACTGACCAAATGTAAAACTGCGGAGGTTTCTGGAAGTTTGGAACACTTGAAAGTTCTAAAGTCACAGTCATTAACTGATCCAGTTTTCTTTCCTACTTAAATATATGATATCTCATAAGGGACTATTACATCTTGCAAGCCTCTTGTTTATTAACACTTTTAACCAAATCAGAGACTAGTTTCTAGATAATAATCTTTCAGTTTTATGCAATATACTTTTATATAATATTATTAGTATAAGTATACAATGGTATTCTAATGATGATATGCTAGAGTAAAAGTATTTGCCTCCTTCTGTTTTCTATTAGAAAGTCTTCACTGTGACAAATTTGCAATTAGTTGAGAACTTCATTGGTTAGAGATTGTATTTCAAATATATAAATAAATTCAGTTTAGCAGTTTACCTTCTATGATGAACTTATGATTTTTTTTTTTCACACATACATGCACACATCAAAATAAGTAAGCTTGTGTAAATGAGATAATCTGGGAGGACTTTCAGAACCATGGACAGTGCAAGCAGACATTCAGCACTCACTGACTCAGAGTGAGAAAGACAGCCATAATAATCAATCACGTATGTGTAAATTAGCATCACTCCTGCTCCTCCAGTGTTCATTCTGAAATTAAGAGTATTAATATGGAGGGAGTTTCTCCCTCTTTGCTGCAGTAACAGCCTTGAGTCCTCTTACACTAGATGTTGAAACACTGATGTGAGGATCTGATTGCATTCAGCCACAAGAGCATTAGTGAGGTCAGGTACTGATGTTGGATGATCAGTTCTGGATCACTGGATCCAAGGGTAGAGTACAAGGGTACTGGAGAGTTGTGCAGCGTATTAACTGTGGTGGAAACATGCATCATAAGCAAAAGCCTACTGCCACAGCTGAAGGCATAAAAAAAGTTCATGGACCATTTGTATCTTACCTTTGATGACAATATGTGCAGAAGTAGAAGTAGCAGAAGTAGTAGAAGTCCATTCAATGACAGCAACTTTTTGGGTGAGCTGATGTTTTTTATTTGTGTTTGGCTTTGAAAATCCTCTGTTGGGGTAACAGGTCATGTTTACACATCCCTGAGGCACAACTTTTCAGTACCTAGAGCTAGCTATCTAGAGCCAGATCAAAGTGCATTCACAGAAATGCTGGCTCTTTGCTAAAAAAATGTGAAAGCTTGACTGTGGTAGTGGTGGACAGTGCAATGGCTGCTAAGCAGTGACTGAAGGGGAAAATGAAGTGGATGTTTAGAAATAATGTAGAGAGCATCAACATTCTGAATGGAATGTCATAATTGCACCTGGGCCCCCCTAATGGTTTGGGCCCCCAGGCATGCCCTAAAGACTCATGCAGTAAAACCTCTTTGGAATGACCCCGACCTGGGTATAATGCTAACATATTGCTAATGTGGTTTGGTGTTTTTGTTTTTTTTTCTTTTTTTTTCTTTTTTTTTGCATTTTCAATTGGTTGCTGTTTTGATGGCCAGAAAATAAACATGACTGCACTGATGTGGGTGGAGTGGCATAAGACAAGGGATGAAGTATTAGCCAATGTAAAACCCTGTCCGTGAATGCTCAAACACTTTAGTAAATACTCAAATAAACCTACAGGAGCAAAACATATCATTGTGACCATGTCATTGTGTTTCATTTACTCAATATTGCTGCAGCACATCTAACCACACTGGCACAAAACATTCTAACCCACCCCTTTTTACAACTGTGAACTCTTCCCCACTTTTACCTCTTGGGGGTTACAAATAAACTAAGAATCTATCTGTCACGTGCCAAAGCTGTGATCCTTGGCCTTATTTTGCTTCTGCTTTATGACAATAAGAACAACCTTTAATATATTTCAATGAAAAACGTACAATTTTAGAATTTATTCAACATAGTATGTATAAATTCTGACAGAAAATGGGCTCACCGAGTGCCACAATGAAAGAAAAAAATAATGTTTGTCCTATGGACACTGAGAGTTTAAGAGCAGCAAACATCAGCCACTAAAACAGGAAACCACAATAAGACCCTGCAGCTCAGAGCACATCAGACCACTGTTCACTGACTGTCTTTACTGACTGATCTCACATCTGCTCTGTATTGTGTAGGTGGGAGTTTCAGGCCTGGTTAAAGTGGAGACACTGAAGAAACTGATCGAAGATCTGTCTAAAAAATTCTCATGTTCTTTTCTGCATTTATATCAACAGAAAGTAAAAGATTGAAAACTGGGGCAAGAAAACTTTAGCATTTAAAAAAAAAAGTTAAAACAATAAAGAATATGAAACTGGAGTGTTCTACAAACAGTTCGCCTTCTGCAACACACAGTCACAGAAACATCTGTGGTCAGAGACGGACCCTTCATACATATGCAGAGACAAACAGGAGCTACTTTCAGTTTCTGGGAAAAAGTCCCTGTTTAGGCCAACTACACATGCACCCACTCATGCTCAGTTTAGACTGTAATGGAAATGTGGTTGTTGACTGTGACCACTCACACACTCTCAAACCTAAAAGCTCACACACACGAACAGGAAAGCTGTATGAAGGTCAAATCAGCCCACTACACACTGAGGACCTTCTATACTGAAGTTTATGCACCAGTTTCAGACACAAATCAGACAAATTCTGGCCATATGTTAACTGCTGTATGGTTTCTGTAAAATAAAAGAACTACCTTCTGTAATTTTAGGCCTATTTTCAGTTAATATTATAGTTATGCTTGTTGAATTTAAATTCTACATTGATTACGATGATTGTCTTAATTACTTTTGATTGGAAACAAAAGGGTTAAACCCACTATGTAAAATTGACCAATCAGAATTATTTTTCTCAGTGGTATCTGGGTAGATACAGCCAAGAAAGCTCTCCCATTGGTCAGGACTTCAGCAGCTGGACTAGATTAGATTAACCACTAACATAATGTGGCCTCAGGACACACCTGTGTTCTGCTTAGGCCAGGGTATGTGTGCAGTGGCATCCACAGGTCCTAGTAGTAAACAATGTAGCCTATCCAGCTAGCAGCCAGTGAACCGAGTGTTAGCCTGAGCCAGTGCACCATTTTTCCTATGTGTTTTGTACACTGTTGCTGAGTTTTCTGTAAAGCTGAGTTATGAACCAAATCTTTGACCTGTCCAAGTTTTTTAGAGAAACCCGCCATATCACAATTATTAGGACCTGACAGAGAAATCAATCAATCACGCTTTAATTTTCAATGAGTGGGACCGATTTTGTGAGACAAAATGTCACTCTAGGCCTTCAAGAAGTCTTAGATATGCCGGCAAGGACAAGTGATAGCCTGACAAATACATTTCAGTCAGATGGAAAACAGATGCAGTTCTATGCCAGGGCTGAGGCTGCTAGCAGAAATTGACATTGTCATAGAGGTGGTTTTTTCTCAGTTTTAACCAAGTTTTGACATGTATGACCTAAACTGAAGACCTAGCTCTAATAGTCATGGAACTGAGGGCCAGAATCCAGCACAGATTGGTGATTTCCACTGCTCTAACACACCAACTAAACCTGGTAGTTAGCTAATGACTTGACACAGGTGTGTTTGACCAGGAAAATCCCTCCAGGACCAGAGTTCCCCATCCCTGGATCACGTACACTGCTCGATTTATTAACATATGAGCACCTAGTATTGTTATTTATCTATTTATTTATTTTCTTGGATTTTTCTCCACCTTTTAAAACCAGGTGTAAATTGGCGGGAAATGAGTTCATTTATAAACTCTGCTATCACTTCATCACTGAATTGTCACTTTCTTTTTTGTCTCACGCTTTTTTCCTTCACTCCATCTTTTCAAACACAAGCATCCAGCCATTACATGGAGCTGTGTGCAGTTTGCTGTCCTTGGCTCAGCCTAGATAAACTGAATGTTAGAATTATTGTGGTAGCATTGAGGTGCATTTTGTGCTGAGCTTGCACTTGTACACACATCCAGCCCTGAGTGCCTTTAATCACACATTTGCTAAAAACTGGTTATTCCTCCCTATTTTTATAACTGTCCTGGTAACTGTCCTAAAATCACTACAGAGCTTTGGTCATTTCGTTCAAGTCGACAGTTTGTGTAATTTAAAGACTAATCCTGCAGGCTCAGAAACAGTATGTGCTTAGTGATTTCCCTGCTTTAATGAATTGAGTTACTGATGGTAGACCAGGGTGGACAGTGAACTCTGGTGCAGTGCAGTTATGTTTATTGTTAAACATGAATATGGTGATTAAAACTTCAACTCACTGTTTGATCTTTGGTCTTACATTAACTGTGTCTTTACTGGCCATGTGTTGGCCTTTTAGCCAAAACCTACAGTGATCCCATGCTTGATCAAATCAAGCACCACCCTCTTAAGAAATGACCAATCAGGACTTGTGGGACTGGTTTGCTCGTCTCTCATTGGTTTATTGTCTGAACATTAAGATTAACCACTACATGGTGATCAAAAATAGAAATGTTCCACTGACGTGGACCAATCAGACCTCGACACAGGCATCCGCTTCAAACACCCTCACCATCATCAGCCCACCCAGCACCAGTCTCTGAGATGGAGAGATCAAGAGCTGTTGTCATCACTCTCTTCTGTAAGTAAACATTGCCATGATTTTCACACTGTGGTGGATCTTTCAACATCTAGCTACCATCAAAAGAGCTAGGAGTTATTCACTTTATAGACAAAGAGAATCATAACAGAGCAAGTATGGCTTTCTGTTTAAGAAGATCTACAAAAAGTTGATCTTTGTTTAATCTAAATTGCGATGGGGTTTTGTAGCTGTTTTGTTCACCAGGATCTCTGGAGCAGAAGTGGAGATGAGGGTCAGACCAGGGGACAATGCTGTTCTCTACAGCGACTGTGTTTGGAAGAGTGGATTTAGTACAGTTTGGTTTAGAAACTCCTCAAATGAGCAAGTGGTTTTTTACAAAGAGACTCATCCACGTTACTCTCTTGTGTGGAATCCTTTCAACCGAATCAGCGATCTTCTGGTGAGGAATGTTACTGAATCAGATCTGGGCTTGTACTACTGCGCT